CCCCTCTCCTTCCCTCTCCTTTCCCTCCCTTCCTCTCTCTAAAATCAATCAATAAAAAATAAAAAAAGAATTAATGTTAAACTGAAACACCTGTTATTTATTATTTTATTCATTCCCTGATCATTGAGTTCCTGCTGGATCTCAAGTATTATGCTAACAGTATGAATTAGAATATAGGTGTTTTTCTAGGAACATAAAACAGATTATATAAATTGATAAAGGTGAGCAATACAGATACACATTGGATAATCCAGATAGTTTGTTTGGCTTTGGAATTTGAGCCCTATACATATGCACTTGATGCTCATTTCTTTTTGTATTAAAATCAGGGAAGTCCAAAGGGAAATAGTCATCAAAAATAATTCAAGTGAAAAATTCATTTAAAGATAGTTGGGATTTGATTGTTAAGTTGTTTTTTTGGCTCTTTAACTGAAATACCGTTTAATAAATAGCCCTAGGATTCTTTGACTGTTTTACTGCAATGCATTTTTCCCAGTTTCATTTTATTTATTTCTACCCCTCTGTATAACATTAATCAGTGAGTGATTTTATTTTTTCACATAGGTCATCACATGTATTCAGGAGACTGCACGGGGGTGATTGTTGTTTGGAACACCTATGTCAAAGTTAATGATGTGCAGCATTCGGTGCGCCACTGGAGTGTAAATAAGGTAGAAAACCTTATTTCATGGGATTTAATGAAAGAAATTGGAAAAAGCATTGAACCCACATTGCCTTAAAATAAGGAATCAGGGCATTCTGGTCTCTTAACAAAAAAATTAAGTTTTTCTCTGTCCCTGAAGAGTCTGTTATCATTGATTAATTATCATGCCTTTCTGATGGCTAATTGATGATACAGTAACTTAGTGAAAATTTCTTCATTTTGGTCAGGCTTTCCTTTAATTTTCTTGAGCTCTAATTTGCGCTATGGCATTCAGTTATCCATTACTGAAATTTACACTTAAATGAAGTTATATTACATTACCACCTATAAATAGTAACTTATGTTTCACTTTATTATTCCTCATAATAGATTGTAACAACTGTCCTTATTTGAAATGTAAAAGAATTTTCATGAACTTTAGTTAAGTCTGTTGAGTCAGTCAGATCTGTTTAAGGAACAGTGTATTCTGTTTTTAGTCATTCTCTTCTCACTATCAGATTAACGAACAGTGGCTTGGGATTCATGTTGTAGCTAATTTCATACACTTTGAAATAATGCTAATTACTTATATACCTGAGGGATTGGCAAGCCTTAAAGTCTCCAGTCCCAATCACCTGAGTCTACAATGCAGAGTATTATTTGTGTTGAAAAACATGTGCTTTTTACCTTCATATTCTAACCAGAAGTCAAATTTACCTTGAAAATCTGCAGCCTGGTGTCGTTACTTGAGACAGTCAAAAATAAAAAGATAGGAAATGAGCTGGAATATTTTTGTAGTTAATGCCCTAGGACAAACCAGAGACTGCAGTTTCTTACTGGTTTTCTTCAACCAGGGCTGTGGGGAATGCTAAGTTGTTCTCATCTGTCCTTTAAGACGAAGTGTCTGAGTATTGCCTTGATACAGAACCTGGGCTTCAAAATTAGAGCTTTTCTAGTTTAAGCATGAGTGTGATCAAGAGAAATACGGAAGAAATTATTAACAGATACTACAGACTCTAAGTCTGCCAGCACTTTCCTCAGATTTGTACCTAACACTTGTTACACAGTTGTTTTTATTTTGCACATTTGCATCTGTGTAAGTGTTACTCCTGTTGCTGAAACCTCCAGCAGTGCATCTCCACCCTCAAATGGTTGTTCTTCAGCTCAGTCAGGTCCCCATCTGTGGTGTCAGTGTTTGACTTTTTATGTATCTTTTAAAAAATAGCTGACAGCAGGTCTTAGCATCAGACAGCAGTAGCAGAGGCTTGACTGCTGGTCTTAGGTTGTAGCAGTTTGTACCCTGTCTCTGCCGATGCCAGCCCCCCTCTAAAGAGGATACACTCTAGGAGAAAAGGGCAAAAAATAGTACAGGGTCCCCCGGGAGGAAGAAGGGTAGTTTGCCATTCTGCCTGCAGATTAAAGCAGACTCCTTTTGGACTCTGTGGACTTTAGGCTGAGCAGTTTCGCATTTGTAATTTTTTTCCTTTTCCTGGTAATCCAAACAAGAAGGACCTTTGGTAATTATTCTAAATGGCTTGTTCAGGCAAATTCTCCATCAGTGTTTATGTATTTCTTGACATCATTAATCAGGCATCTTTTCTTGTATAGCTGCTTTAAATAACTATTAAAAAAAACACCTAAAATTATAGTCTAAATTAAATGATTTCAGAATATTCTGATGATATACCTTTTTCAAGACGAGTGGAAGTAAGTGTATGAAGAAATAATATGAGACTGAAACAGAACTTGAAAGTTAATTCTGCACTTTGAATTTATAAAAATGGAAGCTTTCTTACATGATAGACAGAAAATGCGATGTTAGAAGATGTGTCGTAGGAAGTGCTTCTTGTTTGGAAATATACTACAAAGACAGACACTAATGTGGTATTAGATAACAACCAGAAAATACATTTCATCAGCTTTATTTTCAACCTCAAACTGAAATTACTGGGAATCCTTTTAAACATTTTAAAGCATCCTGTATAGTACAATTGAAAATATCTTAAAATTATTTTTCTACTTTTGTGCTCTAAGAAAGGCTTAATATTAGACAAACTTTATAGTGGGAATATTATATAGTCTTTTTTTTTTTATCAATTTAGGAAATTAAAGAGAGTGAGTTTAAGGGAATTCCAATAAGTTATTTGGAGGTTCATCCCAATGGAAAACGTTTGCTAATCCATACTAAAGACAGTACTTTGAGAATTATGGATCTCCGAATGTAAGTATATATTTCACTGTTGACAGGTTAAGCACTCATAGAATAAGTAATGAATTAATTTATATTTATTAAATGCAGCTGTGGTTCTCACCTAGACAATTTTGCCCCTCAGGGGACATCTGGTAGTGTCTGGAGACATTTTTGAATGTTGCTTCTATATCTAGTGGACAGAGACCAGAGATACTGCTAAGCATCTTGTAGGTTCTTAAGACGGCCCCCAATTACAAAGAATTATCTGGCCCAAAATGTGAATAATTTTGAGACTGAAATGTAGTCAATTACTTTATTTAAAAACACTTTTGTCATGGAATATCTTTATCTCTATGATACTGAAGGAGAGGGCTTTTGACTAATTCATCCTTGTGTTTTTGTTATTTTATTTCTGAATAACGCCAATGAAGGAAAATACCCTTAATTTAAAAGGCAGAAGTACAGTTCTGGGGAAGTCAGCATGGACTTCTGGTGTGCTTTTGTTTTGGTGCTGAGTTCCAGGAAAACAAATGAGGGGAAGCTGTGTTATTAGATTTCATTATTGTTTTTAGAAGGGCAGATGTGACAATCTGTATTAGTTTATTCTGCAGTTCTCTTTTTAGGACTAACCATTAAGCCCTTAAATATTTATGTGGAACTGTTCAAGACACTGGCATGGGTGCTGTGGGAACATGGTGAGCAGAAGTAGCTCATCAGGAGTTTATAATCCAGGTGTGCTGCCTCTGAAATGACACACAAAATGTTTAATTAGGTTAAACTATGAGATCTTCTAGAACTGGAATCTGCTTGTTCTTTTTTCTATACATAGTGCCCATGCTATGCCTGGCAGACAGCAAGTACTCAGTATGTGTTTTTAATGAATATAAATGTATAATATAAGGATTATATTTTTCATGGCAACAAAGGTGATAACTCTAATAGTCTTTCTGTTAAAGGCTTTATGGAGAGGCTGGCCTTTGAGCTCAACCTTGAAGAATTTTGCTAAGATGGAAGGAAGTGTATTCTGTAGGGTAGAAACATAAAAGCCTGGAATAAAGTTCAGAGGTGGGATAACAGAAGTGTATTCTAGGCAGAGGGAGTTAGTCTGTATGACGTGGTTGTTCTCTTTTTAAGCAATATAGTTTTCAGCTTCAGATCATGCTTGGTCTTAGAGGCAAACTGCTTAGAATGAAATACGGCCTTTTCTACCTGTTACTGGCTGATTTAACTCTGTGCCTCTCTTTTCTCATCACGGAAATGGGAGAAATAATATATATACTCATAAGGGTTTGGGAGGAGTAAACTATTTTATACATGTAAAGTACTTAAAATATTACAGCATTTGGCGAGGACTGCAGAAATGTTTGACTCCGCAACCTCATGTCTGAGAATTTATGTTAAGGTAATATAAAACAGTGCACGCCCGGCCGGTCATGGCTCAGCGGTTGAGCGTCGACCTAGGATCCAGGTGATTGGGGTTCGATTCCCGGTCAGGGCACATGCCCAGGTTGTGGGCTCGATCAATGACTCTCTCATCATTGATGTTTCTATCTCTCTCTCTCCCTCTCCTTTCCTCTCTCTGAAATCAATAAGGATATATTTAAAAAAAAAAAAAAAAGATAATATAAAACAGTGCAAAAAATGAGACAACAGCATACAAAGGTTACCAGAGAGGAAGGGGGTGGGGGATGAAGAAGCCCAGTATGTGGTTACGAGCACACGTGGAATATGCAGGTGATCTGTTACAGAATTGTACACTCGAAAGATGTAGTGTTATTAACCAGTGTCACTCCAACAAATTTAATAAATCTAAATAAAACACTGCCAATATATATATACAAGATTGTTGATAGCAATCACATTCACGGTAGAGGCAAGCTGGAAACATTGTGTGTTGTCCAACAATAGAAAATTCCTTAAGATACACTTAGACAATGATATAACATACACCTATTAAAATGATAATGCATAATCTATACATTCTGACATAGAGGGCCATTACTTGTGATATTTTTGCTGACTGAAAAAGCAGATAATAGAGCACTGTATATAATATCCTCTCTGTAAACCAGAGATGGTAATAGTACCTACTGGCACATTGTAAGCATTAAAACAGTGTTAGTATTTTCCATAAGCAAGAAAGCCTAGAAATCTGTATATCATATTAAATAGATGATTTAATAATATGCTCTAATATTTCTGCAAGGATCAAGTGTGATTTAAAAAATTCATCACATGGGAAAAAATATAAAAATTCAGTTCCTTTTTAAGTAACCAATTCAAATACTATTGCTAGAAATAATTTTTCTTACCCACATCTGCAAAGTACATTCTTTTCTTCTCTTGTGGCACTGTCTACATGCACTTACTGTTTTACATTGATTCGTTCATTCTCCTAATTCTAAACTCGTTGAGCTCTGGTGCAATCTCTTCTTTATTCTGCACACATCATAGAATGTTTCCCACTTAACAGATTTTCAAAAATTGTTTGTAAAATACAAATGAAGTATTTAAAAGTTTTTACCACCTAGATTTTACGTTTGTAAAATCTTTTTTGTTTATAGATTAGCAGCAAGGAAATTTGTAGGAGCAGCAAATTATCGGGAGAAGATTCATAGTGCTTTGACACCATGTGGGACTTTTCTCTTTGCTGGAAGTGAGGATGGTATAGCATATGTTTGGAACCCAGAAACGGGTAAATATTTCATTAACCTTCAAGTAAATTTTTTTTGTTGTTTTTGAAGAAGTGTGAAAACTATCATTTTAAGGAAGAATTTTCAAGGAAATTCTGATTGCAGGTTCTCGATTGTTTTTCAGAATTGGAACGCTGATAATGGAAATCAGCTGCACTCCAAATTTATACTAAATTCTGCTCTTTATTGCTTTGATATATTCATGGATTTTGAATTCCACATTATAATTTAAAGTTTATTCTTTCCTTGTTTGTAATGAGATATTGTAGATCTTAGAAAAGTATTTAATGATGACTGTAATGTAAAATACAAGTGTTACAAGATGGATTTGGAATATAAGTAGGTATAGAATTAGTGAAACATTTACAGTGTATTTTCAATAGAAACATTCCCGTCAAAGGTTTTGATGTGTGAAACTTAATAGAAATTTACCTGAACTACTATAATTCATTTCTTTTCCAATAAAATAAACTGTTACGTTGGGAAATTAATTTGTGTCTTAACCTTTGCTTTTCAAAAAAAAAGCTAAAACTACATAAAAATTTTTAGCAATAAATTGAGATAATTTTATAAAATTCACTGTATAATTTCTTATGAACAGAATTTAATTACCCCTTGTTTATTCTCTTGGTCTTTCCTTTAGGCATTTTTGACTAGTCAGTTCACAGAAGTTTTTTTCTTTGTTTCTTACTGCATTTTGATACTTTAGCATCAACCCAAAATTGTTAAATCTCTTTTCCCCTTAAATAAATGGATCTAGAGTTTTTGCTTTTTGGGTCTGCTTTTCATAGGTTTCTTAGACCTCTGCTGTAGGCCTCTTAGCCATTAGTAATCATATGTGTATTTTTAAAGCCGATGGTACCTCAAACAACCTCTGGGACAAAATTAATCCCCCACCAAGCCTTCCCCAGCGAGAGAGTTTCTTCAGTTTTAGAGTCCTGCAGTTCCTCCCCTCGTCTCTGGAGTTCTTTGTTAGCTGGCATGTGCTCAGACTGTCAGATCTCAGAGTCAGGTACCTCTCTACTTCTGAACTCTGTTTTTGTTTTGCCTTGAAAACCTTGTTAAAGAGCTTGCATTGAAAAGTAGAAAGAGGAGGGCCAACAGAATGAAAAATAAAGATAATGGCATGGCTCAGTGGTTGAGCATCGACCTAAGATCCAGGAGACTGTGGTTCGATTCCCAGTCAGGGCACCTGCCCACGTTGGGGGCTAGATCCCCAGTCGGGGGTGTGCAGGAGGCAGCCTATCAATGCCTCCTTCATCATTGGTGTTTGTATCTCTCTCTCTTCCCCTCTCCCTCTTTCTGAATTCAATAAATATATATTTTAAAAATAAATAAAAATAAAGATAATTATTCAATACAGTAATACTCAAATATTTATAAATATTTGAGGTTTTCATGTAAATAGTGTGAGCTTTATCATTACTATCTATAAATATTTTGATAAATTGCAGAATAATCTTCTAATAAGAAATGACAATACAAATCATTGAATGTCTTTTCTTGTTTAGGTGAACAAGTAGCAATGTATTCTGACCTGCCATTCAAGTCACCCATTCGAGACATTTCTTACCATCCACTTGAAAATATGGTTGCATTTTGTGCATTTGGACAGAATGAGCCAATTCTTCTGTATATTTATGATTTTCATGGTAAGTCCACTGCTTGATAAGTAAAGAATACTTAGAGTAACTTTTATATTTAGACTGAACCAGGAATCATGAGCTCTGTGAAAACTATCATCTTTTGTATTAACAAAGCTCTCTTGAATATATTGTAAGAGCCAAGCAGATTATGTTATTGTTACATTTTATTTTTTCATAAGCACTACTATTCTGGAGGTTAAATATCAGCAAAAGTACACGTACTAGTTGTGCCCTTATGTTGGAATCGCAGAAGGGTAGTTATCACTTTCTTCCTAAATCAATTTAAATAAAATGCACCTAAAAATTATTTGGGAATGTTAACTAAATTTAAAAGGTAGCCGTGGCTGGTGTCTCTTGGTTGGTTGGAGCTTTGTCCCATACACTGAAAGGTCACAGGTTTGATTCCTGGTCAGGGCACATACCCAGGTTGCAGATTCAATCCCCAGTCGGGGTACAGGAGGCAACGGACTGATGTTTCTCTCTCTCTTTTTCTCCCCCCTTCCTCTCTATAAATTCTCAGGTGAGAATTTAAATAAATAAATAAATAACATTTAGGAAATATGGATCTTTAATGTGTTCAGCTGACTATTGAGTTAATATTCTATGTGTTTTTTTTACTAAAGCACATAGTATTAATAAGTTGTAGTTTTGAGAGTGTCTTAACTTGAAAAGAAGTCAAAAAACTAATGTGAGTGAAAGAAAGACCCAGAATTAGAAATCTAATGTCTTTTTTACTCTAAAATTATACTGTTTTATCATTCTGAGAGATAAGGAAATAAAGACTGGACACATTTTTCAGGAAGAGCATGGCATTCTTAGATATATGGATTTATGCTATTTTTCATATATTTCTTTAATTTTTGTCCTGCTATTAGGATTTCATTGTTTTGCATTGTACTGATAGTGCTGTCATACTCAATATTGCAATTCATTTTTTTCATATATTAAAAACTTTATTCATTTCTTTGATTTGTTTAGGATGTCATGTTCACGGTTTTTGCTAAACCAGGATAGCTTACACACAATGTCATAAACACAAAAATATATAAATATGTATATGTAGGTAACATTAATGTGGAACTATTGGGACAAAGTATTTTAAATTAATGAACTGTGAATGGTTAAGTTTATTGCATTAATACAGATCGAATTGGTAATGGTTGTAATGAGTGCTAAATTATTAAACAATTGAGTTAAGTTCTAAACCTGAAGTTCTTGATCATGGTATGGATTTTGTTTTGTCTTCTCAGGCAAATTATATTAGAAAATAATGTGTAAAATTGAGACTTACCTTGTTTTAAAGAACTTTACAGACAAGAAATAATTTCTCTAGCGGATTAAAATTTATGGAAAACAATATATTACTAATGGTAGAATTGTTAAACAACACAATACCATTTACTATTGCAAGCAGATATTAGCAAAAATAAGCACTGCCTGATTATAGGAAAAGACAAATGGTTTTCTCAAGTCATGCAGTGTCCAAATCTGGTGTGTAGTTAGAACATGTATCCTGAAACAGTCTGTCTTTGTACTCAGTCTGTCTTTATACAGTTCTCATAAAGGAGAATTGTACCTAAGGACTTTATAAAATTAGAGCTGTTGTATAGGAAATGGGCAGCGCACTTATTTCCTCAGACTTGAGGTTTCACAACAGTCTTCATTCAATTTCTAATTTGCTTTTTTTAGGCTTTTGAAACTTTCACTACAAATGCAAGTTAATGTTTCACTCTTACCTTTTTTTCTTCAGTTATTTTTATTTATTTTTTTGTCATTGATAGCGTGATTTCATCATTAGATTAGCCCAGTCAGGTTTGCCCACATGGCCTTTAGACAATAGGTTTTCAACTAAGAGTTCATTCTAGAAGTGTGGAAGAGCGGGATTTCAGACTCAGTTCTGTTTCTTTGGTGACCTTGAACAAGGCTCTTGCCTTCCTAAAGCTCCATTCTCATCTGGTAAATGGTACTACTGTTACTAATAGTTATTTGTGAGGATACTAGGAGAGGGACTGTGAAACTACTTTGTAAATTAATAGCGCTAGATTAAAACAAACAAAGAAGGGTAGAATGGGTCGTTATCATGCTCCTCCAATCAGTACATACTTGACTTTATGGGAACTTATGTTTTTGTATGCTGATAAGCATCTGTATATTGAGCAGAACTGAAAAAGGTTTTTTCTCTCTTATTCTTTCTTTTGGCAACCTTTTCCTTTTACTTATTAGAGTGAGTAACTTTTTAGGTCAGTTGTATTAGAAAATAAATGCATAAAGTTAAGAACATTATGTTATATCCATGCTATCTTAACATGGAAAAGTAAGGAGTTCTAAGTGTTCTAGAAATGATCAGATGATAACATATGAAATTAAAATTACTTTGTGTAGTGTCTTTAGAACATAATTTTTTATATTCTAACACACCTTTAAAAACAAATGAAAACTTAAAATGTTTTTAATACATTTTCCTAACTCTTTACTGCTTATTTTTAAAAAGAGGAAGCTTAGGAAGAAGTTACATAATCTCAAGCAATCCAAGATTTAGCAGTTCTTCTGCATGGTATCTATCCATAAGAAAATGAAAAGTTGTTTCAGACTATGAAGTATTTTACTCACTGAATACAGACCAGAATCATCAAGTCAGAGTCTTTAAATATTTTATTGAAAATTATAATATGTATTATTGATGTATTATAATTTTACCTTATATTTTTATTTATTTTTTATATAGGAATATTTTGCCCAGGCTTTCTGATTTGAAAATAAAGTTTACATGTAGCTTTACATAAATGTTTTAATGTTATAAAATTTGAAAGATATAGAAAGGTTTTTAAATAGTATTTATCAGAGCTGCTGATACGTTTAGATAATTTTCAAGGAAAATGGAGCAAGGTTGTTTTTTAATAAGTGAAATAAGCTGCAAATGAGACCACAGTGGTAGCTAAATGTATCATCCGTTTTTCAGTTCTAGCAAAATCTGTGAAGAGTCAGCAGGCATCTTGCCCTGTTAAGCGTATGTTCAGGTTGTGGTCTTTTGGGTCTTTCATTCTACTGACTTTTTGCTTTTTTTGGTAAGAAATATGATTTTTACTTTCAAAAGGCAGTTTTATTTGCCTGAAGTTGAAAGGGTTAATCATCTAGTAATACAAAACTTAGTCACAGAGTACCACAAATAATGTACTTTAAGGATTCCCATAACAACAGAGTACTAGTCAGAAAAACGGCTTCTACTGAATTAAAATTTACAAGGCTAGACTTTAGCAATAATGTTCTGTTATTAATCAGTATTTATCTACCTCAATCTCTAGGACCCTGCCCTATATTTAATCATAATTATAGGTAATACTTATGAAGCACTTTCTATATTTCTGGTACTGTTTTAAGCACTTTACACATACTTAATTTGTCACAATAATCTTATGAGAGAGGTTCTATAATTACCCCATTTTATAGGAGCCAGGACGTGGATCCATACAGTCTGGACTTAGAACTCATGATCTTATTTGCTACACTGAACTGCCTTTTGAGCAGATTTTCTGCTTATCTATTAAGTAAATCTTTTTTTCCCTACAATACCACTTACTCTGTGCCTCACTGTGGAGTGTGTGATTTCTTTGTATCTATAGCTTGTAGGAAGCTGATATAGCAGCTTATTTATCTTTTTATTACCAGTACAGTACCTAGTCTGAATATTGACACATGATAATGTACATGTATGTATTTTAAGTAGGATCAAATTTGGGAAGTTCTCAGCATTATTTGATAATTTCAGGTAATGAACCTAATATTTCACTAGGTGGCAATATCTCCTCTGAGTCAGCATTAACTCTGGAATGCTTTTCTGTTCTGATCTTGGGCCAGACAAGTCTGTATTGAGTCCCTATAATGTGCCAGGTTGAACAGGGCTATGAAACCCAGGAATCACACTCAGATTATCATGCTCTATTCCAGTCCTTTGTGTTTCCTAAGTAGTTGATTAAACCTCTGGAAGAACTTTAATTAAACTGAGAAGCAGTCTCTACACTAAAATTATTTTATTTATAGAATTCATATTCATTAATGACCACCTATGTTGTCATTATCAATAGCTTTATTTTTCATATTGTGGCATGTTTTACTAGATTTTAGGGCAATGTATTCCTTTAGACTCCTATAAAAAAGTTTGTTGTATAACTTACTCTTTTACCAAAAGTCCATGGGGTTTATAATGCCCTATGTATAACACAGTACCTGGTGTACTACTGATGTGCAATAAATGTTTGAAATAAGAATTCCAGATTCTATAAAATAGCATTTTTTCCTTAAATTTTATAAAAATACAGGATGAAAGGCATGAGCAGTTACTCAATTCGGGGCTAATAGTAATAGTGGTAGTATTGGCTAACATCTATCAAGCATTTATTATATATCCCCTACTCCTTATGAGTGTTTCACATATATTATCTCATACAGAACTCCCCAAATCCCATGAGGTAGATACTGTTATTGTCCTCATTTTGCTGATGATGAAACTGAAGTACAGGGAGAATGAAGTAATTTGCCTAAGGCCACACAGTTGGTGATTGGTGAAGCTACCATTTGATTCTAGGCTACCCAACTCCAGAGCCCATGCTCTTAAACCATTAGGCTGTTTTCACATCTGCATTTCCTATATCATACAGTAACTTAAGGATGTAGCGAAATATTCCTCTGGTGAAATGTGTTGTTTTCAATTTTAATATTTAAGGGAACCCCTTAAGATTAAAAGGAACTTTGCTTATCTAGTATTGTTATCATCAATAGTTTACTCCTTTATAAATTTGCAATGTAATTATAATGCATTAAGCCATTTTCAATGTAGTCCAAAATATGAATTTTCTTTCAGTAAGTTTTAATGTAACTACTTTTATAATATTTTTGCAATAAGATAATGTCTAGTTGAAATAAATTTGATATACATAGTTTTATGTATAACAATGGTATTCTTAAAGTACTAACGATGAAGGATTGGAAAGCAAACGCCAGTATTATAATCTTCATACTTGTATAAGATCATGCAGTAACAAAAGTAACTGATTGTAGGTCAGAGTTTTAAATATCTATTATTAGCCTAGTAGGATAAATTAAATAAAATGCCACATTTGACGACATGCTGCAACTACCTATTTCTTGATCATATCCTGAAGCATCTATTTTAAAATTCTTCACTGATGGATACTTTGATTTGAAAGCTTATGTCATTTAAGGATTCAAGACATGGAAAACTTAGTCAGTGTAAAGGCTTTGAGCGTAAACCAAAGCCCTTAATTCTTCATCCAGGCCTTTTTTAATGCTTTCATAGGTGCTTTTTAAAGTGCACCAAGAAAGAAGACTGGTGTGGTGCAGAATAAACAATAGCGTGATGGGAAAGGCTGGGGTTGTACACAAAATGCCATCACATTTTGTTTGATCCTGGTCAAATAATTTAGCGTTTCTACATCTGTTTCTTCACCTGTAGAATTTAAATAATACCTGTTCTACTTGATCTTAATGTTTTGTCAAAGGATAAAATGAACCAGGGTGCAGTTGAGAAATTCTAGCTATTCTCTGTGGAATAGATACGTTATACACTTGGAGTGGAATGGCATGATGTTTGATCATGGATTCATCATGGATTCATCATGGATTCATCATGGAAAAGAAAACCAACAGAGGGACAATAGCATCTACTTCAAGGAATCTGGAAATAATTTACTGTATTTTGATTTTCAGCTAGTAGGTTTGCCAAATGATGGTAGCTGTTGTCCCATTGGGTTGGCTATGAAACATGAATCTGTTACACATTCTTTTATAGGTTTTTGAAGTTTTTTTAGGGACATTATTTCTACTTGACATGTAAACTGTGTCAAGGAAATACAAGATTACTAACAGGCTCTGAAATACACCCAGGGTACTAAAATTGAAGTGCTACTCAATATAACTTCCTGGATTCATCCATGTAGTATTTTAAAATTAGCTAAATCAGGAATAAGTCAGGCCCAGTAAAATACAATAAAAACATTATAAGCCCTTGACCATTCTTATTTTAGTTCATTCGGATAGTGTACAAACAACAGATTTTTATTTCTTATAGTTCTGAAGGCTTGGAAGTCCAAGATCAAGGCACCACCAGATTCAGTGTCCAGGGAGAGTCCACTTTCTAGTTCATAGACTGCATCTTCTAGCTGTAACTTGACATAGTGGAAAGGGCAAGGGCGCTCTCTGGGGCCTCTTTTATATGGTACTAATCCCATTCATGAAGGCTCTGCTCTCATGATCTAGTCACCTCTCAAAGGACCCACTTCCTAATACCATCACCTTGGCAGTTAGGATTTCAACTTATGAATTTTGGAGGGAGACAAACATTTAAACAACAGAAATTCTCTACACATAGCAAATGTTAGAGGAGGAGAAGGAAGGTGCTGCAGAACTACTGAATGCTAGGAAACTAGAGAAATAGGCCTGCCAGCTTACACTAATCATTTTGTAATTAGAAATAGAATAACTTATAAGTAAAGCAATTAGATATCCAGTAAGATGACTGTATATAGTAGCAGGGCTATATGTCATAACAGATCTTGACCAAGGAATTAAATGTTGAACTAAAAGGAAATCATACTGTTAATATAGTGTAAGTGGAAGAATGTGTTGTTTTTAGTTGTACTTTATTTTAAAGTTAATAACATAAATACACATAGGTATTAATAATAACAAACCTTGGATTTGATCCAAATTCAAAGGGCATTGGATTAAAATATCTTATTTCCTCCATTCTTCCTCCTATAAAGATAAAAATTGCCTGAGAAAACCACGTTATTTTTTATAATTGTTTAAAGTCCAGAAGATACACAAAAGCATTGAACTCATATAAATCAAAGGATTGTCAGTTCTAGAAACATTTTAAGAATTTTTTTAATTTTGTAAAATTTAGAATCCCAAATTAGAGCTGATGGAGGTAATTTTAGAAGTATTTTGATTGATAAAACATTCCTGTAAGCAGATATAGTTGCCACCTCCATGTTCTCAGCACCATGTCCATTTCTTTGCTATTCTGCTAATAAGCACATAGCAGTAACTTCTTACTGACCTCCAAAAGAGCCAGACCCCCAGAGGGGGTTGGCATCCTTGTGTTCTCAGAGCCTGCTGTAGTGTACTCTTCATAAGTGGGGATGAGACTATTAAAATTGTGAGTTTTAAAGATATCAGGTTAGATTAGAGGTAAGTTTTAAATGTACAAAGTTAGCACAGAAAGGAGAAAATGGTGAAGAAATTCAGTTACAGTATTTAGTTGCAACATTGTACTCCAATCATGACCTATGTGAAAGTGTTTTTAGAAACCTTTGAAATGTTAGATGCATAGAGCTTGAAGGAATTTCCAAAATCATCTATTATAATCTATTTTTACAATGAAGTAATCTGTATGATCTTACACAAATAGATGAATAATTTTTGTAAGGTGGGGGAGGGGAAGAATGAAAAAACAGAAGCAAGCAGCTTCTTTCTGTTTCTAGTATCTGAGAAACTAGGTCTTTGTGAATATTTCTGCAGATTTTTTTATGGCTGTCTTCACAGAACAAGAGGTGCTAGAGACAAAGTAGGGAGTTAATTTGACTCCTTTTAAATCCAGTCAGATGGCTTTTGTATATAAAATTCCCTTTAGACAACTGAAACAGGTATTCATAATTTGGGGTTTATTTTGTTTTCTATATCCACTTAGGCCATTTTAATCCTTTCTGAAAGGCATCTTAATGCCTGGAAAAATAAAGAAACAAATATTTAGCCAAAGCCTTTTGTTATTTTTTACTAGTTATAGAAATCCTTTTTAAAAAAAGAATAATAAATCATTCTTAGCATAGAGAAAATACAGTTTGGCAAAAAGAATTGAGATAACTACCAAAATCCTGCTATCCTATATAACTTCCTTTTATCAGTATATATGCTTCTATGCATGCTTTCTCACTCAGAGCTTAAAGTGCAATCGTAGCTAATATGTATCTGGCAAATAGAAAAACATAGGGAGTTAGAAAATGCCACTAAGTAGTTAAACTCAGCTTTACTTTCCATTCATAGCAGCAAAAATCAGTGAAGTGTTAAAAGGACAATTTGTAAAGCAAATAAGGCAAAGATCATGGAGCATAATTTTCATGTGTTGATTCATTCGTCCCCAACCCATCTACTAATGTTTTAAGCCTTCCAAAGTCCAACCCATAGGCCACTTTTATATCTGTAAAGTTTCTCTTGGTTTTTAAACTATCTTTGAATATTTGAGAATAAAATTAATGTTCTGAGTATTATGAAAAGAAGTCCAAAATATGTACTGAAAAATAGTCAAACCCACACAAATCTAAGTGTAGAAGCACCTACACCTCCATCTAAGAACAGTAATTGAATTAAGGAATCTGCATCACTGAAACGGTGATTATAAGCTGGTCTTCTCCCTCAATAACGTTTCCTCGTACTTACTACCACTGAGGTCTGCAGGGAGAAAACACTAATTATGCAGCTAGTCTTTATTTAGAGTGTGTGAATGAAGTAGTACATGAATATAAAAATACTTTAAGAATTAATGTTGCCCTGGCCGGATAGCTCAGTAGTTAGATCATCGTCCCCATATGCCAAGGTTGCGGGTTCAGTCCCCTGTCAGGGTACATACAAGACTCAAACAAGTGGAACAACAAATCAGTGTTTCTCTCTCTCTCTCTCTCTCTCTCTCCCCCCTCCCCCTCCCTCTCTGCCTCCCCCTTCCTCTCTAAATAAATAAATCAATCAGTAAATAAAATGATAATTACATTGTAGAAATATGAAAGGTGTTTGCATTTAAATTTTTTAAATGTTAAATTACATTTACACCATGGTATCTTACATAAAATGTATATATGTATAAAGATTAGGAGGAGTATATAAATGGTTTTTACCATTTGTTTTAGGGAGATTGATTTGTGAATTTTTTTTGCATTTTCTTTAATTCTATTATGCCTTTGATTTTTTTTTTTTTTTTTTGATTTTTTCTATACACATATATTTCAGATTAGGCTCCCATCCAATTTGTTATATTTACCAGACCAAGATAATGCATGGCCTTAAAGGCTCAATTAAAATACTGCCTGACATGAAAGTATTTGTGAAATTATGATATTTTCTTCTTTATGGTTTTATAGTATTTAATAATTTTACATTTTGCCAGTCATGTCTAATTGTTACCCAGTATTTGAAATGTATTATGCATTTTTTTATTTATTTAAGACTACAGTTGGGTGGCTTAATTACTTCATTATGCTTTCGCTATTATGATTTAAACTAATATAGATTCATTTTTCTAGTTGCCCAGCAGGAGGCTGAAATGTTCAAACGCTACAGTGGAACATTCCCATTTCCTGGAATACACCAAAGTCAAGATGCTTTATGCCCCGGCCCTAAACTGCCTCAGCAAGGCTCTTTTCAGGTCCATGACGGTGTCCACACTGAAGATTCTTCCTTGACAATGCAGCAAGTGAAACAAAGACTTGATTCTGTCACAGTATGTTTATTTTATGCAGTTGGGAAGTTGGAATTTTTAAAACCATTTCTATCCTATTTTGCATTGTCGTGCCAATAAACAGTAATTGAATAAGTAAGTTAGTTTACTTAAAACTAGACTTTCTTATGGTTCCTTTTTAAGACTTATTCTAAAATAACTAACTTCAGTAAACAGACTGAACTTAGGATAATCTCTCATGCTTTCCTGACTCCATATCCCTGTAAAGAGCAGCACCGGACCTATTTCTTTATTTAAAAATATCAGTATGTGGCCCTGGCCGATGTGGCTCAGTTGGTTGGAGCCTCGTCCTGTGCACGAGATGCTCACCGGTTCAATTCCTAGTCAGGGCACATACCCAGTTGTGGGTTCTGTCTCTGGAGAGTGTGGGGAGGCAATCAATTGATGTATCTCTCTTATGTTGATGTTTCTCTCCCTTCCTCTCTTTCTAAAAATATATAATATATATAAAAATCTATAATACATATATATCAATATGTGTATGTGTGCATATATACATCACATACACACATTTCCCAGCCACCATCAACTTGGGAAACTATATACATAAAGTATATTAAAGGAACAGTTTTAGTATGTAAAAACCAAAAAATAAAGAAAAATAGACTTCAACAAAGAACTGTATAAAAGAAACATGTACTTCCAAAAAGAGTAGATATGAATGTGGCCTAGACATTAAAAGTTCTTTCTCACTACTAAGAAAAGAAGTACTTCGAAACCAGGCACTGCCTATAAAACTGGAGAACAGACCATGAAGATGAGGACAACGATGCTTGGATAAAATCAGTGTCGTGGTCTGTTAGTGTGAGTGATGTAGAACCTTTCCCAAAGGTAAATGGTAAAATGTGTTGAGAAGCTTAAACATCCTTAAAAATACTTATGCTCTTTGACCATGATAGTTGTTAGTTAGGATTAGCTTGAGCTCCTTGAAGACCAGGACTGTGCAGGCTTGTGCCTTGCTGTGCTCTTACCTTTGAGCACGGTGCCTGGCACTTAATAAATATTATCCCTTTCCCTCCTCCTCTGATGGGAATCTTGACCAGTTTATATTGGTGGGTTGTTGTTTTTTACCAGTTTTAACTAAAAATACAAGGACCTACACTGAGACCCCTTTAGCTCTGACTATGTCTTTTTCCTCTCTCCTTTGCTTCTTTGACAGAGTTTAAGGTGAACCATAGCACAGATCTCACTCAGGCCCCGGGTGTGGGTTTAGTTAGGATATGGAGGAAATGCTTTCATCCTTCTCGGTGTAGATTTTTAGAGCATATGTCTATAAGTTAATAAATTTCGTTCAGTTTTGTAATTTATACTGTAACATTTTAAAATAACTGGAATAATGCATGCTGTTCCATTTTGAAAGGAAGTATGAACAGGTAAAATTGTGTTTTAAAAATTAGAAACATGTTTCTTCACAAGGAGAAAAAGTGCCCCTTGTCTAAAATCTTGCATGGCAACAGGATTTCATTTACAGACATAAGAGCAACTCACAGATAAGTACATAAGAATGAGTTTTCTACGATCTGTCGGTTTTTACACTGTAAAACATCCTGGCATCACTCTGGTCTTGTAGCTTTCCTCCTGCATCATCTTATATAGCTGTCAACCTCAGGTGAATGAAAGAATGTAACAACAAAAGAAAGTAGATATAAAGGAAAAGTAAAATCAGATATTTTTTAAGATATGAAATCAAAGACGAGGAGGAAGAAGAATTGATAATTTATTATAAGAGAAAAACTGATTTCTCTTAGAGTCATTTATTTTGCGTTAACTAAATCTTGCCCTTTAAAAATTATTTAGGGAATGTGTTTGTTTGGGGATTGAGGTAGGTCAAGGCTTTCTTTAGGAACAAAAGTTTTGTCTATTTGCTGTGGGTTTTGAAAAACCATTTTTCTCCTGTGTTGAAAAAATTCACTGAACTTTTCTTTCAAGTGTTATCAGCAGCATATTTTCTTTGAGAATGCATATAGTATGTATGGGAGTCATCTGTATTCCATGGCAGCTCCATTTTTTTAAAAAACTATATTCCACAAGCATTTAGATCAACTGGATTTCTACTTTTTTTCTTGTTTCCTATAATTGCCATATAGTATTTTTGTTTGGTTGTTACTTAAAGTCTATTAGAAACTATATCTTTGGTCTTCTATATAGAAGTCTAATAGAGAAGACTGTATTACTTCTGTTATTATAAAAGACTGCATTGTTGAAGATACTTTTTCCTTTGTAACCACAATTGGAATGTTCTTCTAATAAAACACATTTCACATTTGTGTGAATTGCATAATAAATTCAGTTCAGCAGGTACTTAATAGGTGTTTACTCATTGAGTAAAGGATACCAAAAATAAATAAATCTGTCTTAATAGCTTTACCATTTACTCATAATATAAGTCATTTAACTATTTTATATTTAAAAGACTTTACTGTATGTTGCTGTTATAGCCATACCTAAAAGGCATAGTGCAACCCAGATAAACTTCACAGGTTGACAATATGTTGAGAGCATCGCAGAACTCATTCTAACTTCTTATCAGTGCATCCGGTGCTCAAAATTTGGGGTACCCTATTAAGAGTAATCAATCCCACAAAAAGTTGATTTATAAACTGAAAAAATATGTCATAATGAAAGGTATACCTTTCCAGCCACCTGGACACTCAAGACCACTCTTCTTTTCTAAAATTAACCAGAAACCCAGGTTAATGACCACAATGTTGATTGTTAAGCAGAGTCATAGGAATAGGGATTAGATGGGTTTAAAAATGTTGTATGCCAGTTTTGAAAAATGTTAATATTTTTTACCCCACAGGAGATTTCTCCTTATAATGATTGGTGATAACTAACATCTATTTAATGATGAGTAATAACTGACATAATGATCAGTAATAACTGACATAATTTTGGGTACTGTGCTAAGTGCTCTGCTCTACGTGCTCATTGTATTTAATCCTCAAACCCATCCTATAATGTGGGTGCTAGTATTACCCCATTTTATAGAAGACAGAGTTGAAGCTTACAGAAATAAAAGTAGTATCACCGAGGTTGGAGCTGAAATGCAGTCCAGGCAATCAGAGTCCCATATCCACAGTCAGTTTTGCTGTCTCTTTTTAGTGATTGAATTACTAATTTTCTTTAGACATAGTATCTGGCCCTTAGAAATTTCTGGATAAAAAACTGATGTTCTTCTTTTCAGTTCTCTTTCATTTTCTTTCCTTTTTTTTAAAGATGTTTTATTTTTTTATTTATTGACTTTTTAAAATATATCTTTATTGACTTCAGAGAGAGGAAGGGAGAAGGAGAGAGAAAGGGAAACATCAATGATGGCAGAGTCGTCATTGATCGGCTGCCTCCTGCATGCCCCCGACTGGGGATCAAGCCCACAACCTGGGCATCTGTCCTGACCAGGAATCAAACTGCAGTCTCTTGGATCCTAGGTCAATGCTCAACCACTGAGCCATGCCTGGCTGTGCAGTTCTCTTTCATTTTCCTAAGGTCAACATTAATTGTTATTTTTCTCCAGTTCTGTACTAGGCTGATGATATATGCTGGTTCACCTTAATTGACTTGAGTATTTTTTTGTTTCTCCTTAGTAGCAAATTTTCAAGTCATCCAGTATATGTTGATTTTTACAAATTCCTGTTTCAAAAGTGATCTTTTCGTGGCCTGGTTCATGAATTGTAAGCAATTCTTTTTTGTAGCTCCTTCTGAACTGGTCAGATACATTACCATTCATTAGTGTTAGTATTAGATTTTCTCTAACGTATATTATTAATATGGGTATTATACTTATGGTGGTTAATTATGGAGATAATTATACAGTTCATTTAATTCAGGGTATGATTTTTAAGACATGTTAGTGTTCTATACAGAATTTTAGTATTTATGCTAAGTTTATTGAGGAGACAGGTTTTCCTCAAGGCAGTTACATGCCTCCAGAGTCTTTCTTTTCAGTGCCTGTTGTTTCGGCAAGTTAAATTTACCAAGAACATGTCAGTGAGTCTTTAACTTACACTTTTTTCAGCTCATTGGAAACAATAGAGAGTGCCAACTGCAGGGTAGTAAAGAAACTCTCCCAAATGTAGATTTTGGTTATTAAAACATTAATATCTGACTGGAAAAGAGTTGGATATTTTATTAAAATGAAATGATTAATTTTTTTTTTGGTGTATTTCTTTTAGGAGGTGATACGAGCCAGTGCTGCAAAGGTAAGTAGTTTTTATTACCAAGAAGATAACTTTAAAACTAGTTTTCACTCTAGCCAGATAGCTCAGTTGGTTAGAGCATTGTCCTGATACACCATGGTTGCTGGTTCTATCTCCGGTCAATGTACATACAAGACTCAGCCAGTGAATGAATAAATAAGTGGAACAACAAATCGATGTTTCTCTCTCTCGGTCTCTTCCTTCTTTTCTTCTCCTCTCTCTCTAAAAATAAACAAATAAAATTTTTTTAAAAACGATAGTTTTCATTGTGATGCACCAAAGAATTAAAATGTACCATTCATAGTTTTCAATAGAACTTTTACAAAAGTTAATTTGATACGAATTTTCCTTAATTTGAGCTTGAATTTATCAAGGAACTATAACACTGGTACCTGAGAATTTTGTAAGCCTCTTCATATTTTTTTAGACTTAAGAATACTAAGTGATTGGGATATACTTTCATTAAAGGACCAGCAAGGTCATTTCATTCTCTGAGAAAAATATTACACAATACTTAATAGATAAGAGAAATCAATACAGTTTTGGTGGTCATATGTTAAGTAAACTGTATAAGCCTTGAGTGCATACAAGCTGCACATAAAGAGTAATGGTATATTGTGGTAATAATGCTTTTGTTCATTTATAGTAGTGTTTCACACTTTTTTCATGTAACTGTAACAGTCCTGAGAAACAGATTAGAATTATTATTCCAGTTTTGGAAAGGAGGAATATGAGGGTTATTGAGGTTAAGTGATTTGCCCGAGACCCCAAACTTAGTCTAAACATAGTGGTATACAAAACGATCTTGATTTTAAACAATTTCAGCTAAATCGTATCGAGATGCTTTCAACAGAGCAGCTTTCTTCCTTTTACAAGCAAGTTTTTTTTATGTACAGCTTTTGATCAGTTGTTAAGAAAATAAATTTTAATTTATAAGAATTGGAATGGCATCATGTGTTCATCCTTCCCTCTTTTCTTCTGTCCATTCCCAAAATTCATTTGACTAATTAGACATCTTTTCACTTATCAAACTTAATTATATATGTCACAAAGTAAACAGGTGAGATATCCAGAAGGAAAATAATAAGAATGGTGTTGGCATGTTCAAAGACTACTTTATATAATGTTTATGCAGTGGGGATATTTTTTATTCAATAACCACCTACTACTATGTAGCAGGCACTGGGAAGACGAAAGTAAGTAGGCTACTGTCTCTTTCTACATGGTCATCCAGTGGAGGAAACATAGCAGAAAACACTGGGTTTACCCTGTCACTGAGCTGTTCAGTATCAGTCAGAACCTATCACTTTTTTACCTAATTATCACAAGTCAACAGGATATGGAATATAGACAAGGGGAAGGAAGACAAAGGACAAAAGAGAACACACTCTATTCTGATTTGGGCTGCAGATGTTCAGGAAACTTGTTCCTGATAGCAATGATGGGTATAATGATTGTAGCTCTAAGATTAATCTTTCTCGGTATGCATAGTATATAAAAATAGTTTATTCTCTGATTAGTAATTCAAAGCTGTTCCTTTATTTTAACAAATATGCTTTGTACCCTTCTTTTGTAATGCTATGTGACTATCCAGAGTAAAGCGTTCTGTGGGTATTGGGCAAGGCTTTATGGAGAGCATCCGCTGCCAGTCTGGAGACTCCTTGAGGGGAAGGGTCATGTTATTCATCTTGGCATCCCTGTTGCATGACAAAATTAGCATAAATGCCCATTGAAAATAGTATGTATTTTTTAAGATTTTTATGTTTTTCCCTCTTACATTTAGGTTCTGTGATTATTTTGAGTTAATTTTTTTAATGTGATGGGGTATCGAATTCTAATTTCATTCCATTACTGTGGCTGTATAGTCCTAGCACCATTTGTTGAAAAACTATTGAGTAGTCTTGGCACCATTGTTAGAAGTCTTTAATCTTAAAAGCAGGGTATATTTATGTAGTTTGTCATCTGTTACATCCAGTATAATAAATTTTGACCCAGTACCTAAGATTTTTATTTCCTATATCCCAGCTAGATTTTTATGTTGTTGAAGATTCACTTTTTTAATTAAAATTCTTTAAACAAATATTTATTGAGTGCCTATCAAATAGTGTGTGTGTGCGTGTGGTGCGCTGAGAGAAACACTTGACAAGGAGCTAATGCTGTCCTATAAAAGTCCTCATCAAGAAAAGAACGTGGCAGAAAGGAGCAGAAAGACCACTGTGCTAAGTAGGATTGTGAGCAGGCAGGAGGGAAAGGGTGGCAAGGTGATCAGGAGATCATGGCAGCTTTGAAAGAGCAGTGTAGGAACGGTAGTGCGGGTGAGGAAGAAACTTCCCTCTGCCTTTTTGGTTCTGTGGCTGGTCTAAGAATTAAATAGACATAAACAGATTAACGGGAGAAAAATATTTTAATTACTTACATGCAAGACAAAGTAAAAGATTCCAAAGGCTGCCAAGAGTTGAGTCTTGTATATCATCCTGAGCAGAGGAAAGAAGGGATACGGGTCTGGGCTTCAAAGGGGGAAGGAAATACACTGGAAGGTGAGAAGAGGAAACATTTGGTAAGCAGAGGTTGCCGTGCCGGGCATTACGTGTCTCAGGTAAAAATGTTATCTCTGCTAGTAGCTCTTTTTCTAGTATAGACCCCTTCTAGGAAATTTCCCTTGCAAAAGGGTAACTTCAGGTTCTCAAAATAATCCTTATGCCAGAGAGGCACAATCTGGGTGCTGTGTTCTGCTGCCCTTTACCCTCTTCTACCTCCCCCCTTGCCTCTGGCAGTCACCACACTGTTGAAGACAGAGTGAGAGCCGATAAAGCAGAGGCTATAGGCATTCTTGTAAGAAATTCTGAGGAGCAGAGAAACAGGAACTGGGAGGGAGTATTAGGTGACAATACTAAAGCATATTTGTTTGCTGATGGGAATGATTCAGCGGTGGTGGAAAAGTTGATAATGTACGGTAGAGGTGGTAACTGCTGGACTCGAGTCCTTGAAAAGATGGGGGGGCTGTAATCCTGAATATTAATGGAGAAACTGGCCTAAGAGAAGGGATTTTTTATCATTTCTGATAGGCAAATAGGTAGAATCTGAGGTTTTTTGTTTTTTATTGAATTTATTGGGGTGACATTGGTTAAAAATATATATATAGGTTTCAGATATACAATTCTACAATAATCACTTGTATAATGTATTGCATGTTGACCACACCAAGTCAGATCTCCTTCCATAACCATTTATCCCTCCTCTAACTTCTACCGCCTCCCCCCATGCCCCTTCCCTCTGGCAGTCTCCACACTGTTGTCTGTGTCCACGAGTCTTTGTTTTCTTTCTTTGCTTAATCCCTTTGTTCAGAGATAGATTTGATGATGGGAAAATGAAAGAGTTCTCATCTGATTGCTTCCAAGACAGTAATTGGTATTAGAAGTCCTGTATTGCTCTGAATTGCAATAGCCCTAGAATACCTACATACGAATTTATAATTTACATATTTCTTTGGTCTTTCCTTGCTTTAAGGTTGGATCGAGGCATATCAGAAATGACACTTCCTGGGGTCTCTTTCCATTAAGCTTTTATGATGCCTCACAAATGGAATTAATCTGTTTTTCTCCTGTTCTCAGCCATATTTATTCATACCTGGCATATTATATAATGGGGCCTATTCTGCCTTAAATTATAATTAATTTTGCCTGTCTTTTCTAGAATTAAATATGAATTCTCTCAAGGACAAGCAAATCTCTCACCTTCTTTCTTTCTTCCTCACCTCCCTCTCCTCCCTTTTTTTTTTTGTCTCCTCCTCTTAAAATTTACATAGTATTGCCTCCACCTCTAATCTTTACATGTCTGAATTTCCACACTCTTCTGTAAGCCGCTTGAAGCTGGGATACTTTATCTTTCCCCCCCCAATTATTAATATCACACTAGATAAATATAAATGCAGCCAAGCTAAAGTTTATTGACAAATGCTGTAAAGGTAGTCTACATTATAGTCTAATCTACCTTGGGACATATTCACAGAAAAATAAAAAGGTTAAAAGCTAGAGAATCCAGAGGAAATAATTTTTTAAATGTCCTTTAATAATATTTGGATAGCCCTGGCCACTGTGACTTGGTTGGGCATCGTCCCATGCCCCAGAGGGTTGCTGGTTCCATTTCCGGTCAGGGCACATGCCCCAGTTTCGGTTTTGGGCTTGATCCCTGGTGGGGGGCAGGCAGGAAGCAGCCAGTTGATGTTCCTCTCTCATATCAATGTTTCTCTTTCTCTCCCTCTCCCTTCCTCTCTCTAAAATCAAATCAATAAAAAATCTTTTAAAAAAAGTTTGGATATTTTTATCATGAAGAGTGTAGACGAAAAGGGGCCATGTACTAAACCTGACAAGCTCAGGAAAGGCCTGCATGGTGGCCATGCAAACTCAGACACCTAAAATAACCACAAAGGATGGTCTGAAATTAAAACTTTTTAACTAAGAAACAGTTTATGGTGGGTAGTCATGTCCTAGGCTGGTATTGTCCCTAACAAAGGTTAATTTTCACCTTAACTAAGCCTATGAAGAGAAAGAGAAAGAGGGATTATCTCTTTGCCTCCACAATAATATATCTTTGGAATGTCAAATAATTTTCCTTTTCCTGGACCCCTCAAAGCACAGGCACCACTCTGTGGAGACCACAAATCCCTTCATTTTTACTGAGTTAATTGTTTACTGTTACCTATCCTGCACCCACCTAAGTAAAAGAAGTGTATGTCCATCATTTTAATTTTTATCCAATCCCAGAGGTTTCCCCACTTTGCTTTCTCCTGCCTCCCTAGTCTATCACCAATGGATTTCATGTAACCCACTCATGTCTCCTCTTTTAATTGTAATGTCTAAAACAGTGAAAAACTGCCATTTTCCGGAGCATTATCTCAATCCGTTGTTTTGGCTTCCCAGCAATTGTCGACAGTTTGGCTCAAATAAGCTCACAAAAATTCTTCACAGGTTTGAATGATCTCTTATGTTAATGAGGGGGAAAAGTAAGTTGAGATTTGAGTAGAATAGTGGTTTTCAATTATTTGGAAAGTTTAAAAAAATTTTTTTTTGTAATGCTCACAATTTCTTCATGGCATTGCAAAAGGGCAAAATAATTTGTATTATTTTGACAGTATTTGGAAGACTGGCCTGACTGTAAGAAATAGTACTACTATACTCAACACTTCTGACATCAGACATGTGCTTGAAATTGAACGGTTGAGGCATGTAGGTAGCCTTATACTCCCCAGGGAGCCACCAGTCTATTCCCCACAGAACTCTGGGGGAAGGGACTGGACGGGGGAAATAGATGCATGCCCAGTCAAGGTGGGGGGACTAGCAAAGCTGCTTCTGACAGTCACACCTGGGAATAGGTCATTGGCCAGAATAGGCATGGCCACTGCAAGGGCAAGAAATTTGGGGTATTTAATACCCTAAACAAAGGAGTTCGCTCCCTTGTTTGACTCCTGGCTTGCGGGGCTCTCATTCCTGCTTCCTGGCGTTCTTGCTTGTGGCCCACGGCCATGTGGATCCCCGCATACAATGGACTGATGGACTGCAACTAGCCTGATGCTAAACTGGACCCAGCTCCAACATGGAACAGAAACTGTGGACACTAGCTTTGTTTTTAGCTCTCCTGAAGCCCCAGTTACACTTCTTCTATGACTGGAATGGGTCTTTAGAAACACGGGGAAGTAATTCCACGCAAGTAAAAAGTACTCGTCCTCCTGTGCGAGTCTCAGAAAATTATTTTTCTCAAGATATCAAAAGGACTCCACCCCCAGCACTCTGGGGAAAGGGATACCCCAATTTCCCTGATAACATTAAGATACCTGACTTCGTGTACCTCGAATTTCATTTTGGCTCCAGTTTTCTGTTTAACTCGTACTTTAATTTTTTTATAGCAGAGGTATGATGCGCAACAAAACATTTCCTGAGTATTTGGTGGTTTTGCCACCAGAATTGTCTTCAGATTAAAATATTATCTGCACTGTTGTTCAGACTTAGTGGAAAAAATGAAAAGCCATCTGGAGAGAGGGGGACAGATTTGTGGACATAAGTATATATACAGTATAAGCATCTTCGAAGTTTCTTTGCTGCTTGAAACTTTAAAACTACTTCAGGTAAATGAAGCATTTAACCTTAACTCAGATAAAATGATTAGACTTGTAAGTGAAGGGGACCAAAGTTTGCCACCCAAAATGTGCCCTTTGGAATATTGATTTTAAACTGGTTATTAAGAAAAAATCTAAGAAAGAACCTTTGACCCTTCCCCCTTTTCTGCTTAAGTCTTATAGAAAGGCCTGCTCCAGGAAGGAAATGGTAGATATTCACTGTAGTATTAGATAGGAGGGATCAAACCAGGCCTGTTATCCCACCTCCCCAGCTTCTTCTCATTGTTTCTGGGTTGCAAAGCAGGAATTTGCTTGCCAATGCGTTTTGCTTGTTTCAGCTACCTGTGAATTTCCTTTTTCCCCCATTTCCCTGCTTCCTTTCTCCTTTGTCTACAATGGCATATTCCTTGGGTCTCATTCTTATGGCACCCCTGAACATGCATTTCTATAATAAACTTGGGCTATTTTTCTCTTGTTAATTTGATTATTAGCTCAGTTAAAAGGTCTTAGAAGGTGGGAAGAAAATTACCTTTTTAGTCCCCACATAAGTATATATAAATGAATGTTATATCTGTCCCAAAGGTTTTAATCACCAAGAGAGAAACTAATTGTTAGCTTGTTTTAACTTTTTTAACATGAAAATTAACCTCCTCCTAGAGAAATAGCATTTTTGTATTTTGCACAAAGGTGCTTATAAGAGTAGACAAAACAGTTTTGTAATTAACTTGGCAGGAGTTCATGCGATTTTTTTTTTCTTTTTCTCTATTAGGAATTTTATTAAATTTGTACGCTTTCAGTGTTCCCCAAGATGGAGGTAATAAACTGACTCTGGCAGACTGTGGTTTTTGCATGAAGCAAGCAGAAAAGTGTGTTGTGAAAAGAGGGTAGATTGGTGTAGGGTAGACTATCTTAGCCAACCTTTCTGTTGTTGTAAAATTATTAAGCAATTCTTTTCCACAGCATGCATTTCAAAAATAGATATTGCTTCACTCTATTTAATGGTTATTATTACTTTTCTTCCTCTAAATGAAGTAGTGAATGTGTGTAGGCTAATTTTGAAAATACTTTGAATTCTAATTTCAAACCACTATAATAATTTATCTCAAACCTTAAAAATTGAGTTATCTGGTTTATGTTGCCACTCATCACTTCATGAACATTTGATAGTCTCTAAAGAAATGTGTCAAGAAAGAGCAGAATTATAAAAAATGCTTTAGTAAGAACATGTAATTGTAGATCATAGTTGGTTCTTTTTTTTAACAGCATTTTATTTAAAAAGAGTGGCAATTGCCCTGGCCAGTGTGGCTTAATTGATTGGGCATAGTACTGAGCGCCAAAAGATTGCTGGTTTGATCCCAGTCCAGGTACATGCCTGGGTTGTAGGCTTGATCCCCGCTGGGGGCATGCAGGAGGCAGCCAATTAATATTTCCCTCTCACATGGATGCTTCTTTCTTTCCCTCTCCTTTTCTCTCTCTCTAAAAATCAATAATAAAAATAATCTTTAAAAAAAGAAGAGTGACAAGTCTTTCTGTTTGAGTGGAGGCATTTAAGTATCCTAGCTTTCCTGCTGGTTTTTTGGTTTGTTTGTTTGTTTGTACACAAGTAGACTTCTGAAGAGGAAGACTGAAGTGTGTGTGTGAGCATGTATGTGTGTGTCCCCAGAATACACCTGTTCTTTTGCACCAGATTTCAAAATGCATTGTTTGACATGTAAGATAAAAATTTTCAAGAACACAGAAGTAAAACTGAAAAATGATTCTAAAAAGAGAAGTGGACTAAAGAGTTAAGTGATAAATATATAATTTTGTATATAGTACTTCTATTTAAAAGTATGCCACTCTGAAAAATTTACTGCATCATCATACTGCATTACACATTTCTAATTACTCTTCTAGTAATGTTAATAACTAATATTTATAGAGCACTTTATGATTTCTCTTTGCCAACATACTCAATGTAATCTATTTCCTATTTAATGTTATTTAGTGCTCTATGGTTAGCATATGTGAATAACACTATCCAGTTTATCTTTATTGCTCCCACAGCACATTCCCATTGAAGCATACATACTTTTTTTTTAAATTTACTGATTTTAGAGAGGAAGGAAGAGAAAAGAAACATCAATTTGTTGTTCCACTTATTTATGCATTCATTGGTTGCTTCTTGTATGTGACCTGACGAGGGATCGAACCCACAACATATTGGTGTACGGGACGAAGCTCCAACCAGCTGAGCCACCCAGCCTGATAGAATTTTTAAAGCTAGATAATGGTATTTAACCTCACTGATGTGGTATTTAACCTCATCTCATTACTTGGAAAAATACTTTTCTTTTTTATAAGATATCATAACAGTTTAGGAACTTTAGGACTCTTATTATATGGCCTTAATTAATTGACTTTTTCACCAACTATCTAATAGCTCTTTGCCTCAAGAGAAAAATTTAATCTAAGAAATTTTACTACTCTCACTGTTTGAAAGAAAAGAAGTGTTTACAAACAATGAGTCAGATAAAGGGCATGTAACCACAATCTACTATTTAATAGAAAACATCAAAAGGAAATTTTTAAATGCTTATACAGTGAAGTCCTCTGTGTGGCTTGACTAATGTTATGGAAATTAGAGAGAAAAGGCAGCTATTTTCATATACAAATAATTTATATACCATAAACTATCATTTAACATTTTGTTAATTCATAGATTTTTTTTTTTTTTCAGGAAATGAGAAATTCAGACTCAGATTTTTTAAAAGTAGGTCACATTTTCTTGTGATCTTGAAAGTGATAAAAATAATAAAGATATAATAAATAATTTATTAACAGTGAACAAAACTAGATCATTGCTGAAATTCTAAGTTACAAGGTGAATTTACTAATAAACATTTAGTACATATTTGTGAGCTATTATTTTCCTATATGGTAGCTGTAGTTATAAATATATGCATTTTATGCATTTCATTCTGTGAGACCATTATACTCAGGAAATCATAGTAGGTTTATTGTTTCATAGAACATTGTATTTACTTGAAAAGTATTGCTTGATCATTTTTTAAAATGCTCTTTTTAAACAGTGTCTTAAGAATTAGGTTTTTCGATGCAGTGGAAATTGTTTCACTTGGCAGGTTAGGTTGCAGCTGTGTTATGTATGTCACCATCATGTATATAAACATGAATATTACAGGTGTCTTCTGTGCAGGCTTTTTAAAGGAGGTACCTGTTATTTCACAAAATCCTAGAGAAATGTGGGTCTGAAACATTTTCACGCTTTCCTAATTGAAAGCTGTCAAGGAGTTGCTTTTATTTTTTGCATTTCTTTGCATAACTTTAAAGACTGGTCTATTTTGCATTATTAATAATGTCAGATCTATGATAAGCTAACCTGTTTTATTTCATAAGGCTGGTTTACTTTAATATAGTTATGCTTTCATTAGCATTGTTTTACTTCCGTGGTAAAAAAACACACAAATTATTCTGTTTTGTAAACTTTGAAAACCAAGCATATAAATCATTACCACTCCCTTTGACCTACCATGTGTCATGGTTTGCATGTAAGCAAATCTTTCTCATTCCATTTTTGCATCAGTAACCCAGGAAATTACGCTTTTGTTTCTGATTTGCCTTTCCTATTACAGGTCAACAAAAATCTCTCGTTTACTTCAACATTAGCCTCCTCACAACGGTCTAAGTTAAAACAGTCAAACATGCTGGACACTCATCAGATCCCGCGTCAGCTTGGTTTCGCTCAGACTGGTGAGCCCCTTTCTTACTCTGACTATTCTTTTAAATGTTCACATGCTGTTATTCCACAAATGTCATTTATTTCATTTTAGAAATATAGCTCATAGCAATGTAATGGTCTGTTTTCACACTTGAATTATATATTCTAGCATCTTTTTTTCTTTGAAAATCGCTGATTATTTCTAAAGCAAATTTGAACTTGGTAACTTTAATAGTAGATACTCTCAACCTCTGTTCCATTAAACAGATAATTTTAAAATAGCAAACCATGTGAGTTTTAAACATGTATACTAGTATATCTGATTCAGTTTCCCTTAGGTAAAAGAACCATCATTGATTTTTTTATATGTTATAACATTTTTCAAGGAATCCAAGGCAAAACGTGTTTAGCAGAAACAAGCTCCAACCTGTTAGTGATACCATGTTTTTTCAAAGTTGGCAAATTAATAAAATATGCAAAGAAGCTAGTTACAAAATCTGCATGAATCACTGAGTTGAAATGAACTGTACAACTGCAAATGTTTAGGGTAATGTTTTAAATTAATTTGAATAAATTAATTCAGAGGGCATCAAAGAAAAAGCATTTATGTGAGAATGTGATTTTGGGGATTAAAAGATGGCTGTTTCTGTTCATTAGCTATATGTTTTTGATAGTATTTTGTGTATTATTGAATTCTTTTAAAAAATGAGACAACTGAGAACAACTAATTATCTTCGACAAGAAGATTATAATAAAAACTTTAGCTTAAAAAGATTGACATAATTTACTTAGAAATTTGGGGACAATATTTTCTACTTTGAAAGTGTTTATAGTTTACATTATGCAAATTATTTTAATATTGCTTTATAAGTTGCATATTATGGTGGGGAAATACTTGCATCAAGAATTTTTATGTTCACTCCTGGCTGTGCCTTTTATTATAGCTTATTACCTGTGAACCTAAGAATATTCATTTGGAAACTAGAAATGATGTTTACATTGTATTTCTGTTGAAGTTCAAATGACATTGCCTATGTAGGTACTATGTGAATATAACATTGTAAACATGACTAGTATTACTCTAGCTTTGAAAAAACTTTGAGTTCTAACTTCAAATCATTATAATCATTAAGTTATCCCAAACATTAGAAATTTAAATTTTCTAATGTTCTAGATATCTGCCAGAAGTTGAAGCAAAGTGGTCGTTCTTATGTACAGTGGGGGGCACACCATGTGCTCTCCCTTCAGACTCTTCCTCTCTGCACCCTGACTAGATACTTGGTTTGCCTTCAGACCGTGTCATTTTAATGACTAGGAGGTATAGAATCTGTCTCCACCACTTGATCCCTAGCCTCTTTCTCCTGAGATCTAAACTCTTCTGGGAACAAATTTTTCATTCCCCACTTTAGGATTAAAGGCACAAAATGGAAATGTTTGGTTGAGTTAATATATTAAAATTCATTCAGGTAGTGTCTTAAGTTTGTCAGCCAACAAGCTGTAGATGATAGATATAAAATTCTTCCTTTTCTGTGAAGGGAAAGAGAACAGAGGATACATAGGAAGGCCTTTGAAATGGAAGAGGGATTACCAGTGAGACAGATAAAGAAAAAAGAAAAAGAATATAAGAGGAAAGCTGGGTATGATAAAGACAAGCCTTACAAACTTCACCGTTGTACGTAGGATTGGCTCCATTTGCCTTCCACTGTCTCCGGCCAAATAGGCCTTGCTTTGGGTATTTATATCATGGGTGTCCCTCCATGTTTCCACTGTCTCAGAAGATTACCATTAAGCCATGTTATATACATGATAACACTGCTTCACTTGATTTTGTTTTAGTTATTAATATTCCTGACCTCACTTTAAGGAATATCCTTCCTATAAAATTTATTGAGATATCACTGTATAGAAAAGTTATAAAAGCAGAATATGTAGTTCGTTGCAAAATGGCCAAATTAATCCATTTTATTCGTTAAGAAGCCAACCTTTTTTGGGGGGAAATCCTACACTAGGAAACAGCTGAACTAGTTTCTATACGTGGCTCCATTTCTAAATGACTGTAGAGTGTTGTACAGTTTCTTCAGGCTTCAGTTTTCTTATCCCTACAGGTAAATAACAGCTCTGGGCTTTGTGAGCTTGTGTCTTGGAAAATTCTGTGATTCTATTTAATATTCAAATCAGTTTTAAAAGGGGATAAATAGTTAAGTGTTCTTGACTCTACAAATAATCTATTAGAATCTAAAACATAGGACTACAAAAACAAATAATGTAGGTGGGTTTTCAGTAAGATTTTTATTTTTGAACATCTTTAAATATTCAAGTCATGACTGTAGATGTTTGGCTTTGTACAGTATAAAGAAAAGCTGTTTACACAGAGCTGGTCAGTATGGGCCCACTGCCCTGGCTGGTGTGGCTCAGTTGGTTGAGTGTCGTCCTGTGCACCGAAAGGTTGTCTGTTTGATTCCTGGTTAGGGCACATGCCCAGGTTTTGGGCTCTATGCCTGGTCAGCGTATATTCGGGAGTCAGCCAGCTGGTGTTTCTCTCTCACACTGATGTTTCTCTTTCTCTCTCTCTCTTTCTCTCTCTCTCTCTCTCTCTCTCTCCCTTCCCCTCTCTCTAAAATCAATATTTAAAAAAATACATGGCCCCACTGTCCATCTTGCTAGAGGTTTATGAGCAGGGGTTGATGTGTGTATGTGTACATGTGTGTGTACGTGTGTGTATATGCTAGAAGGAAGGTGGATTTATTGTCTGTGGTCTGTTGTAACTTCTGTTGACTTTATTCAGGGCGAGTTCTAGATAATGGAGACTACTAATAAAGTATTTTCTTCCTTCTTTGGCTTAGATTCTTCAGTGTTTCTAGAATACTGCCTTTATTCACTCTAGAATTAGGTGGCTATTTTGTTCCAGGCCCTCATCCAAGCATGGGGACTAATACTCCAATCTCTGCCCTCAGGGAGCTTACAGCCTGGCTGGGGGACAAGGGAGCATGCAGCAAATTATTTCAGAGAGAGAAATTCTAAAATCACAGTATAAACAAAGTGTCAACTAATAAAGAGGGACAGAGCAGCAAAGAGGTTTCTCTCAGACTTTACATATCCAAAGAGAATTCTTGATTTCCTGCCCCCAAAACCCTTCCTTCCACTTCCACTTCGCCTGCTACACACCAAGTCTTCCTAATCCCAGCCCATTTAGCCAGGTGTTTAGGTAAAACTAGGAGCCATTCCTGATTCCCCCTCTTCTCTCCACTTCCCCGCTTCCACTCTTGTCTCTTAGCTTATTCTTCCCATGACAGCCAGCATGATTCTTTGAAAAATAATTTAGATCATGTGACTATCATGCTTAAAACTCTTAAATGGTTATGACAATTAGAATGGGTTCCAGAGCCCTTACCCTGTCTTAGAAAACCTTCCATGACCTTGCCTTTGTCTTCATCAGAGGCCTCATCAGCAAGTGGGGCTTTAGGAGAGCCCACAGAGCCAAGAAGCAGGTAATCATACACGCACTCCTGGAAGAAAGCTTGGCATAGCTTGGGAATGGCTTGAGTTTTAGTTTATTTAGCTGGAGGCAATGGTGAGATGGATGTGTTAGGAAAAACTGAGTCTGCAAAGGTAGATTGAGGTCAAATTGTGCCCTACCAAGGAATTCACATTTTATTCTCTAATAAAATAAAGCTGTCCAGAGGTATAAGTCTGAAAGAGGTGATAAAATGTGTTTTTAAAAAATACAACTGGTGCCTGGCCCGGCATGGCTTGGCAGTTGAGCACTGACCTAGGATCCAGGAGATCACGGTTCGATTCCCAGGGCACAGGCCGGGGTTGCAGGCTCGATCCCCAGTGTGGGGCCTGCAGGAGGCAGCCAGTCAATGATGATTCTCTCATCATTGATGTTTCTGTCTCTCCCCTTCTCCCTTCCTCTCTGAAATCAATAAAGATATATTTTTAAAAAAGAAAAATACAGCTGGTGCCCTAGCCTAGTTGCTCAGTTGGTTGGAGTATTGTCCTGTACATCAAAAAAGTTGAGGGTTTGATTCCTGGTTAGGGCACATACCTAGGTTGCAGGTTTGATCCCTGGTCGGGGCACATACAGGAGACAACCAGTCTATGTTTCTCTCCCACATCAATATTTCTCTCTCTCTCCCTCCCTCTGTCTCTAAAATCAATAAAAAATAACATTTTTGTGTGAGGATTAAAAATATATATACAGCTGGTGTCTAAATAAGGGATGGGTTAGAAAAAATCTGGATACAACTCTTATGAGATATTACTTTAGGAACTGTTCATTAGGCTGTCACTCGATAATAAATCATTTAATCCTATTCAAACTATAAATCTTTTCTGAGTAATTTGTATAAGAAAGAAAATTATATAATTTTATTTTTCAAATATACTTGAATAAAGCTGGGGGAAATAAAGAAAATTGTGATTTTAACATTTTACATTAAATTGTAGTTTATAGCTCATAATGCATCACTATATAGTGAATGTGTTATACTGCATCTTCAGTCAATTCAACAAGTTCTCTGCAGAGAAATTTTGTTCTGTGACAGTTTGTCAAAATCTCAGAATCCATTCAACCATCTCAGGATTTCTTATTATAGAAGTGAATTTTAAAATGTGAGTTATTCAGTAAAAAAATAAAATTAATCAATGAGGGGCAGAGGGGGAACCAGCTGGCAGTGAAATAGTTATATTATCTTTGCGAAGTTGTATTTGAAGGACAGCATGTTTCATTTTTAAGAATATGTCTTTTCAAGCATTGTGCTAAATTCAGTTCACATTCAATAGATGAGTCATATAAAATGAAATGAATCATTTTATTACTATGAATTTATTAATATAATCTTCATGCTGTGTTTCTAAATTGTGGACTTAGAGTTTAATGGGGAGACAGAGTATAACATGGTTTTTAAAAACAACCAGTAGCTTCTGTCTTCAATTTTTTTTTTTTTTTTGGCACGCTCCATTAGATCATATAAACACATATTAAATTTGATACCCAATCATTAAATCTTAACTTTTTACCGTATCCTAT